TTTCATGGAATCAGCGAATGGTCGGAACGATATCAAGGAAAAGGTAATTTATTAGGAAAAATAATTTTTAAATATTAATTCTCTTTAAAACAGTTTTCTTCTAATTTCACGCATTATAATTTAAGTTTTCTAACGTATTTTAAGGAGTAACTTTTTCCAGTAATTTAAAAAAAAAATTTCATACATATGAGAAACCATATGTTCGAAAAGCTTAGTTTAAAAAATAGAATGTCAAAATTGAAGGAAAAACTTTGTTTTTCTAAAAATGTCTAGAACCATTATTGAGTTATTTTGAGATGAAACTTAAAACTTTGTGTGTAAACTTCAACATGAAAACTCATCTTTTGAAATCATACATTATTTTTTTAAAATTAGGAATAGACCTAAGAATAAGGATATCTTCAAAACTAAGCCGTTTCGAACATGTGGTCACATAAAGTTTTTATCTTGAATTGATATGCGAGGAATCGCCCCTTAAAATCTTTAAAAATATTTGGCCTTCTCATATAACATTGTTTTTAGGTTAATATAAGTTCGTAAAATTAAAAAAAAGAGAGATAAGATATGTTACAGTATAAAGTTTAGAAGATAATCCTAAACCTACAATATATATATATATATATAACAACTTTGTTTCGATAAATATCAAATGATACATGAAATGGAAATGTGAATATAATGTATTCTACACAGAGAAGCAAAATCATGCGCGATCAAACTCTCCAGTTCGATACGTGGAATCTTCACGTACCAACGGACATGCCCACGGGCATAAGAGAAATCAAGTTGAATCATCTTATTCGAAAACTTACGAATCCTTCCGACGTGATTATCAGGATTCTGTCGAAGAACGACAACGTACACCTTCCCCACCGATACGTCGAAGATCGAAAGAACAAGTACGAATATTCCTCTTCATTATGCAATAGCAATAGTTTTAAAATTTACAAGAAAATACATAATATTAAATGCAATGGAAGTTTAGTTTATATTCTGCAAATTCTCTCTCTCTCTCTTTTGTTTATTACAAATAATTTATATATTACAATAATTTATAATTAATCTATATATAGTTTATTAAATTAATTTATATTGATTTAAACTGATAAAATATTTCATTGTGTGTTTTGCTACATTATACGAATTATTGATACATAACTGAATTATTGGTAATCTTTTTATAGTGGGCAAAATCTGAAGAAAAGATCAGTTCGAACGAGCTCCCGTCAGGTCGTACTTCAAGTCCGGTACACGTGGTACAAAGAACTTGGGAGAGTCGTAATCGCGACGTTCAAGCACAAACACCCGAACGCAATTATAGAAATACCTCGCCACGATCGCGATCAATCTCGCCGAAATCGCCGATAAATAGTCGCGAAGAGAAAAAGTCAGATAGTTCACGAGCATCTAAAGGTAAATCTTCTCCGTAATTAATTGATAGAAGCGATAAACTAAAAAAATATTTAAATTAGAAATTTATGAGTGTAAATATTTTAATTAAAAATATTTTTAATTAAATCAAATTATTTTTACGATCCAATTGGAAAACAATCTGATAACAAATAAGTAATAAAATAAAAGTCGACTAAAGACAAACTAAAAATAAAAGTCGAATATTATGAGAGCATTAAAGAGGAATATTATCAACATTATTATTATTATTATTGTGTATGTATTAAATATTACTATCTGTTTATCTAGGTCATGGGCCTAAGTATAAGATCGGCGAATCCTTTCGGAAGTTGGTGGGCAAATTACGTTCAGCTAGTACGGAGAGAAAGAACAAACGGACAAGCGGTGGATCTACCTCACAATTGACGCAGACCGACGATAATGGCCCGACCTATTTACAATACAACGTGATCGACAGGAACATTCCTTTCGTCAGCGAAAGGGACACGATGGAGGACAAACCACCGGAAAGACCTCCGCGATCACCGCGAAACGCTAACACGTCGAGCAAAGTCACGAAGATCACCAGGACGGCTGATCATGGTATCCAGGAATGGCAACGCGGCGAATCTACGCCACCACCCCTGCAGAGGTATTACTTGGGCGAGGATCCTTTCGGCGGCAGTATCTACGGACGTGAAAAAGGTTAAGCGAATCTACGCCACCACCTCTGCAGAGGTATTACTTGGGCGAGGATCCTTTCGGCGGCAGTATCTACGGACGTGAAAAAGGATACGAGAACGACCGAGACCGACTGCGACACGGAAGACCACGCGGCTCCGGTAAAATTGCCGTAGATTCCGAGCACAGGTAAACGAAGTACTCGACATAATGAGAGCGAGACAAATTTTGACTGATAAATTATCCCCTACTTAAATTAATTAGATCGCTATGCTTACTGCCCCTTATCGTTATTGCGCTTGTTGAAATATCTTTATTTAATACTGTACAGTGGTGTCTTTTGTAAAATATTACAGATCTTCTGTCTTTCTCTTGTCTGGTTTTTTCAATTGGTAAAGAGTTACTACTTAAAGTTCATAAGGGAGTTTGTATGGATTAAGTTACAGAAATTGATCAGATGAGATTTATTTTGAAGGTAGATAATTTTGGTTAAAGGTATAGAAAAACGAAAGGAGAAATATTATAAAATTATGAATGATGGCGTTGATTTTCACCAAGGGAAAATCGATTGTGAATTGAAAGTGTAAGGGATCTAACTTAATCCGAGACACTCTACATAACTATCTATGCATGAAACGTTTATCAGGAATGACATAGTGTTCCAAAGATATTTCACGCTTTCATTGTCAGTAAAAATTTGTCTCTCGGTCAGAATCTGTCATCATGAAATAGACGACGAACTTGCTATCTCATGTCGCTCGATCGCCAAAGACGGAGTTAGTTGTGCAAGCTTCAGGAGCCAAAGTGCGAAGTCTAAATCGGGTCGCTTGGGTATATCTTTTAAGTCGCAATTCGACGACTCCGTGCTTCAATTTAGGGTGAAGGCTGCATGAAGGGACGCATGGGAATCGAACGTATATATGACTCGATAGACTCATTCGATCGTCGCCGCCGCAAACGTCGACGAGAGAAAATCCGCACGGCTAGGCAATCACCTTTCGGAAACAACCGCGTTTCAGCGTCGCCTCCGGCTCCCTCGGCAGATTTAGCAAGTCCACCAGCAGACTGGTTAGCGATCAAGAAAGGGAGGAGCACTTCCGGACCACTCAGACCTTACCGCGAAGCCTACATTCCACCGGTGGTGAACAATCAGCTCGTTCTCAGACCAGACGATACCAGGCACCGAACATCGGCAGATACGGCAAAATGAGCCAACATCATAGCAGCATGATCAACATATCGATCAAGAACACGGTGAACATGTCGCCAAAAGTGAACGCGACACCTGTTTACAGCACTCTTCAGGCTCCGCCGAAACCCGAACGTACGTACAAGTCGTCGCTATCACGCAGCAAAAGCTTTAACGTCGAGGCCAGCAAGAATGGCGTCGATGCACCAACCCGTGTACCGTATACCTCCAATTTGCACCTTAATCGTTTGGACGAAACGCCGCCGTTGAAGAGTCCTGGTATTCTTGCCAGCATTAGCCGTAGTAACAAAGATTTATTAAGAGACGGCAAATATTAAGGTTAGTGACATGATTAAACTGTGTATCCTTTCGGACGTTAAATCACTATCTTTCTCCGCGAATATATTATAAATAAAATCTTAATTTATCTCAAAGTACGATGTAAAACTTAGGAGAGAAGCTACTGATCTGATAAAGTAATGAATTATACATTTGTTTTATTTTACATATATTAGATTCTGCTGTATACGTGCTTTTGATATTCTTGTATCTTTTTTTATTTCCTCTTTTTTGCTATCATTTAAATCTCCTGTTTCTGCTTTTTTGCTTCTTTTTTTAATTGCATAAATTTTTCAATTTATCGAATTCTTATCAAACAATTGACGTCATTACCATATTATCACTTCATTATCTATTTTAATGTGGGATTTTGTTGACGTAAGTAATTGTAATGATTATAAATAGACAACATCCTGGAAGATATTTAAGAAATTAGCAAATGTGTAGTTACAATTTATAACCATTTTTATAGACTATTTTCGCGTAGACAAAATAAATAAAAGTTCTACTGTATGACATACACACGGTTTCATGAATTATTTAATGTGAATTAGATCTATCAAAGTCAAGGACGTGAAAGTTACGTTTTTATTTGATTATATAAAATTATTAAAGTAGAACCGATAACAATCGCTAAACCTTCTGAAATATTACAGAATGTTTCTTATATCTTTAACGTTTACGTGCCACGTATTTTCGACATTTAAATTACTGACATTCTCATAAAACAGAATATGTGAACGTCGTTAACTATTCTTGATATACATTATGGATATACAGAATGCTCTTCATTACTGTATATTTCTTGTATTTTATTAATATTTTTTTCGGCAATCTGAAGAATTTTTTTCTTGAGCAATCATGTTAATAAAAACGACAACTTCGAAAAAAAGCACCACAGGACATTCTGTACATCCATTACAGCACATATTTTTTATTAACAAATGAATATATGTGCGAGTTTCATATAGATGCGATATTATTTATATTGTTCATATTGTTGATTTACAATAATATAATATGAATATATATATAAGCAAAAGTTCTCTCTTTTATCTATACATATTAATTAATTGCTATATCTTTTATTTAAGATATTACGTACATTATAACACAGAAAAATTCATTTAATTGTTTGCACTGTATAATGTAAAATAATTCTTAAAAAATACTTTAATCTTTTTCGTTAAAAATATTTGAGAATTTATGTTTATCTAAAATCTAAATCATTTATATTATATTCAGCAAACAACGAATATAACATATACACTTGTTATATATCTACGTTATATTAATTGTTTACTGGATATTTACATTGTATAAATTCTACAGAAATAGAGAATAATAGAAAAAAATTATTAAAATATTTTTTAATCGATCGCAAAAAAATATAATTCTTTTTTGTTTTTATTTCACCTTTTTATGCGTATCGCCTGAGGCTAATTTTTGGAATTTTCGGAATTTTTTGATAGCGAAAAATGTGATCACCACGTTTATAATGTACATGCTAATACATACAATGCAGATATCTCTATATAAATATAATATAAGGCTTAAGTATATTGAAAAAATATTAGAGATTATTCCCAGAATTACAGTGGTGGCCGAAAAAGTGTAATTATTAGTCACACCTGAAAAAAATAATTCCGTTATTATTATGTAAGACGTATGTATAGACACGTAAGCGACAACGATTGAATACATACTTAAAATTACGATCAGAGTATAAAATATTGAACCATATATAGGATTTCGGATGTTAAACACAGAATCTTTTGGAAACAATCCGAGTCCCTTGCCATGCCTGAAATACGACACGTTAATTTTTTACTACTTATTTTGTATATGTTTGTCTGAAATAATTTTACGATTATTCATGCACAATTATCAATTTCGAATAATTTCATGTTATGTCATTTTGTATTTTATCTAAGTTTTATTTTCGTTACGTTTTATAAATTTCAGTATATGGCTTAAAAATTCGCGCGGCTGAAGGCAGCACTTATGGCTGAATACGCATGTCATGTTTATTGTTATGGCCGCAGCATAGACTCTTGCATAGTGCATAAGGGAATCAACCAATCGAAATTCTTCTTTTCCATGGAATGAGAGGAAAGGAAAGCTTCTGATTAGTTGATTCGCTTATGCACTATGCGTTATGCGTTATGCAAAAGTCTGTGCTGCGGCCATTACTTCGTAGAAGTAATAAGCCTTCTACGATAAGCCATTAGTCATAAATCAGAAGTCAGAAGCTAAAAATTGACCTATCACAATCATTATTATTATTTTTAGCTTCTGACTTCTAATTTATGACTAATAGCTTATTGTAGAAGGTCTACAAAGGGCTTCACACATGAAATGTTTAACAGAGCATAAGCATAACATAAGGCCGCTAAAGGTATATCCACACAAACTTGCATAGCCGCATAAATGTATGCATAAAGAAAATTATCCAATCGCATTTCTCTTATAAAGGCGCACGTAAAATGTGATTGGATAATTTTCTTTATGCATACATTTATGCGACTATGCAAGTTTATGTTGATATACCTAACTATACTCTCTCCCTTTGAGGTTCTCTAATCTAGAGTCCTATATTTATCAGAGAGGCGCAACCGGCTTAAGTCAGTATGACAAAGATGCTAAGGAGAGTACTAAACATGGCTGACATGCTATGAAACTACCTTTAAACTATGTCAAACAAGATAAAACGTGTAGGATAATATGAGATAGAATGTATAGGATAAAATGAAATAGAAATATGTCACTAGTACTATAAATGGCTGCCAAGTCACGCAATTGGTTAGATTGCAACAGCGAATCAGAATGCATAACACCGGTTGCGCCTCTCTGATAAATCTAGGACTCTACTCTAACCTTGAAGGTACTGAACGCAAAAAGTGCAAGCAACACAAACAGATCAAACTTTAGAGTCACCGCACATGCTTTCCATAACTCGGAAAACTCAATAACTGTAAGGATATATCCACATAAACTTGCATAGCCGCATAAATGTATGCTTAAAGAAAATAATCCAATTGCATTTCTCCTATAAAGATAAAATGTAAAATGTGATTGGATAATTTTCTTTATGCATACGGCTATGCATATTTTTTGCATAGTTTATACGGCTATGCAAGTTGTGTGGATATACACTAACACGTGTCATAAGAATTAACCAATCAAAACTGAAAATATTTAACTAAAATTTTTATTTTTTTAATTCTTGACTGTGATTAATTAATTCTTACGTCACACGTCTTATGATTATTATTGCGAAAAGTATGCGGTAAAGGCCCAGACGCAAGCTTTTGCATAACGCATAACGCATAGTGCATAAACGAATCAACTAATCAGAAGCTTTCCTTTCTTCTCATTCCATGGAAAAGAAGAATTTCGATTGGTTGATTCCATTATGCACTATGTATTATGCGTTATGCAAAAGCTTGTGTCTGGGCCCTAACCCTTATAGAACCTTACATTCCACGTGGTAGCCAATGAGAAATAATTCCCTGGATTCGTTAAAATTTCTTTATGTAGCACGTAGGACCTGCGCACAATAGAAGAACAGGAATTAGATATTAAGATTTCAACATATCAGAAACTGATTACATCGGAATACACGATTTCTGATAGGTTGAAATCTTAATATCTAATTCTTGTTCCTCTATTGTGCGCAGGCCCTTACTCAGCAGCAATCTTCGTAATTATTTAGAATGCGTGATGCACATGATATGTTAATTTATCTTTGTTGTTCACCGAATATTAAATAATAGAATAAAACGATAATTGATAGAGATCCTCGGATCTCTCAATCTAAAGCCTTGTGTCCACGATGCTAGAAATCGGTCCGAGAACTCGGACGAAGAAAGAATTGACCAATCGCAATGGTCATGTAATCAAATTGTTCAAATGTGATTTGTTAATTTTTTCTCTGTCCGAGATCTTGGACCGATTTCTAGCATCGTGGACACAAGGCTTTATAGCGCGACGCTCCAGAGATAAGGCCGCAGCACACACTCTTGCATAACGCATAATGCATAGTGCATAAAGGAATCAACCAATAAAAATTCTTATCAATTAACAAGCTTGAAAAAATTTGTCGTACGACAAAAACAAATGAAATAACGGCTTAATGTAATTGTTGTTCATGACCTGTGAATCGAGCGTAACACAAAATTGCAAATATTAATAAAATATTTTTATATGCCGATATCGTTATAAATGCATACGGTTCGTTCCACTTAACGCCCGCGACGCTCGTGGAATCATTTTATTGTTATTTATCAAATATTAAACAAGGACAAATGATGCTTGCGAGCGTTGAGAGTGTTAAGTGGAACGCAGTCTGAGTGCTTTCCATTTGTTGACACAAGTCGACACAAGCGTTGAGAAACAGTCTATACTGTGTTTTTGAAAAATTAGCGAAGCTTCTCTTCAACAGTCGCATGTATTCACTGATTCTGAACAATATCCATGTTCATGTAACGTAACATGTTTGTGTAACGAGGGGAACTATTAAGTAAATAAAAAAAAACAATTGTAATGAATTATACATAGAATGAAGATACAAGTTAACCCTCGTTTAATTACGTTCAAGATTTGAACATATAATGAGTGGCGTTCAAATGCCATTGCACTGATACGGTAATATTTGAGCGTGCTTACTCGGTCATAAACACTTTGGTGCAGCTAATATGCTCGGAAATATCACATAGCGGCTGGTACGAATCATCTTGTTCCTTTTTGACCTCCACGGTGTAAGCGTAGTATGAAAAACCGAGACCAAGCACGCACGCGAATACGATTCCGGCGTTGAATTTTTGTAACGCGCAATTTCCAACCCCCGTCATTGTGTTACGAGATGGTACTGTGCAGTACTGTGGAATGCTAATTTGTTATCGCTTCAATGTACACACCCATATTACATACTCTTGTCGATATCCAACACACTGATGGTATGACTCGTCGATGTATGAATAATACTTTGAAGTCCAAAGATTACTTCAAGATGTTACAAAAGTGATGCGTCATGTCTACACAGAATAGCTGTACTAATGAGACAATGGCGAGAATCGATAACGGAGTATTACATTATGTTAAACTACTTTACTCGCCGTCGCTTCGATTCAAGTGTCAAATGTGTGTTCGCCAATGTGGAAAACGATTCTCTTGAAATACCATTTGCATATACTTATTTAGGATTCAATGGATCATCTTTTTTTTATCATGGTATTCCGAGTTTAATTTTTTTTTTGAGAATTGTGCATTACTTAGTAAATTTATGCTTATTTCCATCAACCTAGATTAACATTAATCTCGGCTCAACTTACTTTTTGTCTTTTTCTAATCTTTAGAATTAGAAAAAGACGAAGAATAATGCAGGGTCTACAATAGAAGTCGTAGGGTCGAAGGCGTAGAAAATTGACCAATCATAGTCGATTATTCTTCTCATATTCTACTGTGATCGGTTAATTTTCTACGACTTAAGACTCTACGACTGCTACGACTTCTATTGTAGGCCCCGCTTAAGTTGCACCGAGATTAAAGTTAATCTACGTTGGTGGAAATGGGCATTAGTCTTCAAATTTAGTCTACCTACGCATGTACTATCATATATTAAAAGATGGAATTGATAGATAAACTTGAGACGATAGATATTTATTTAATAGCAGCTATTTTTAATTTCTCTCATATCACTGTTTTAAAAATAACATCAGTAATTATTTGTAAGACTTAAAAATTAAAGAGCTGATCAAAAAATAATTCTGCCTTAAAGTATACATATCTTATAACATGGTTCTTAATATTAATAAGAATTATTTATGTGCGAAAGAATTTATATGTGTTGATTTTCGTATATTGACGTTAGTATACACTACATTTTGAAATTTCGAAAAATATACACATTGAATAAAGACAATATTCGATAAATAAACGTTAAGACCATGAACTACTTAATTAGTTACAACATATATTAATTACTCGTAAAAAAGATTAATTATAAAGAGCTATGAATCAGTTTATGATGTGCATTCCACATACAATGTCTTTCTCACATATTTTAAATATGTCGAGTTGACAATTCTTGTGACTTATTCCTGCGGAGCCATTGCTCTGGCTTGAGCTTTAACACGTTTCTCGTATTCCAAACGATTTTGGCTGCAAAAGAAATCCCTAATTATTCTTCAGATTGCTATTGTTAAGTTCACAATCTGAACATGTCTCGTAAATACCAATATATTGTATAAGCTTCGGCTTGAGCTGGATCTTTCACATTTGGCTCGTTCAATAAATCCTGAATACCAAGGAGGATTTGCTTGATTGTGATAGCTGGTCGCCAGTCTTTCTCTTCATCCAAAAGCGACAAACACACAGTGCCTGATGGATAAACGTTTGGATGGAATAGAGGAGGTTCAAATTTACATTTTGGAGGGCTTGAAGGATAGTCATCTTTGAAAATCATACGTAACTTGTACAGGCCACCCTCCCAAGGAGTCTGCAAAATCGCAAGTTTAATACGAATATTTGTCACCTACACTTAAAAGAAATTGACTTACAGATTTCTTTCCAGGTATCGCACATTCCCAACTCATCAAGTTAAGGGAACCATCTGGATTTTTAGTTGGTCTAGCTACAAACCCCTACAAATAGTCCTTATATTATTTACAGGGAAAATTCAAATTTATACACAAAATTTTTAACAATTCTAAACACAACACTAAAATAAGTTTTTCTAGAATTTTACCGTTAAATGTTATATATTAATTAGAGACCAATTAGTTTGATTCTTTCTATAGATAAGATCAAAATTCCTTATAAAGTAAAAGCGTTGGTTATAAAACAAAGTTTAACGTAGACTCTCGCTTTTAAGATGTGTGAAATGCCACGCGGATGATGCAGGGCCATTGTTTACAATCGCGACGAGTAACGATGGAATAACGTGATCAGTATTCCGTCCAGCCGATTCTATGGCGCACCAAGCGGGAAACCGATGGCACGTTCCCGCGGGAAAGCGTACAACGAGGAACAGAAACTCACGAACGGATGATCCTTCCTCCATGCTTTACGCTCCTCAGCGAGCCTGGCTATCGCTATCCCTGACATCGGGTCTTCGACGATGCGGCGATTTTCGTATGTGGAAAACACTCGCGGTTGGACGACGCAAAACAGCGTCCCACGTTCTCTCGATCACGTCGTCCCAATCACGTCGTGCCTTTGCTTGCAGTCCTGCTACGGAATTTGAATATCGCCGATGCCAGCCGACGCCGACAGGCAAATCTGTAAAATGCGATTTTCTTGAGGGTGCACAGTGCAACCGTCGTCGTCCTTAACTAGATAGAGGGTTATACACCGATCGCGTTCATAAAAGCTCCACGAATTCGTTCGCGCGCGTATGGTCAGGATTTGCGAGAAGGTTTTTTAGGGGATATACTGACATTTAATGGCGAAAACTCGGTCGATAAAGAAGATCCACTTTTTGGACTAAATATACAGACACGGACCAATAGCGTGGACTAAAAACTTGTCCAATTCGCTGATTCGCTAGTCCAATATTTTATCGAATATGGCTCGCAATTTGAAAATTTAATGCGTACATTTATGCAGATTAAGTATTAAAAACGATAAATTTGAACCAAGCAGTTTAAGAAGCAAAAAATAGATTTATGAATGTTATGATTCAAATTCGTTAACGTAATTACGAAAGATAAATTAATTTGCTCATATTACTTATTGAATGATTTCTACACTAAATAATCACTTTTAATTAACTTTTAAATGAATCATAGTTGAATTAAACATAGCAATTTTATGTTGTACCACATCCAGGGAATGGAAGTAACTCGTTACTTGTAACGAAGTTACAGTTACAAGTTACTTTTTTGGTAACTTTACTAGCAACTGCGTTACTTTTTTTCTTTGGTAGCTGTAACGGTAACGAAGTTATATTTTTTTGGTAACGGTAACAAATTTTACAATTACTTTTATCGTTACTTTGCACATGATTGAACACGATACGACACAAGCCACTTACACTGTAAAAAATTTCGTAAATTTACACATATAATAGATGTAAAATAGATTACATGATTAGTCCTATAAATATAAAAAATCATGCAATTTTACAGAAATTATGTAATTCCACAAAAATTATGTAAATTTGTTTTTATTGTATAAATATATCTTATTTTATATTTAAAATACTTTCAAAAAGTAACTTTCTATTACCACATCATACTTATATTATACTCACATTTTATTTTTATAAATAAATTTTTTCTGTGGATATTTTCTTGCTAAGATTTGACAAATAAATTTATTAGAATTAAATCGTCGTGATCGAACTTTTTAATATTTTTTCGATTTTTTATTTTTACTTTATTGCTTTAATTTTTAATTTATTCGTTAAAAATTGCCACTAATATAGAAAATGTTGAATAACTCAATTCCAATCATATTCAATGCAAGTTTCTTATTTAATGCAAAAAGTTTCCACATACATGATGATGTTTTTAAAATTAAACATTATGGTGTCTGATCCGAATTGAAACTACGGTAATGTATAATATTTATTAAGACAATAAAAAATGCCACAAATTCAATAATATTATCGCAAATATCTTTACGTTTTGCAATTGCTTTTAAAAATCCGAAACTTGTAATAATACAAGCATGATGTCGCTTACCGGCTGACGCTGTGAATTTCACTGTTTGAAAGATGTATTATCACAATATGTATCACTGCACAAGTATAGATCGCATCTCCACAACTGTTATCGCGTAATATGTTCATTACATGTTAAGCCGTTTAAGTTATCCACCTGCTGACACGTCGAATACAGCATCTACTTTCTCATTAGCAGCACTGCCATTCTTGATACGACACCTACCGCGTTAGCGCACGCGATGCGAGTGCGTCGTTAGGTCGACACCTATCGCGTTAAATAAAAAAAGTGCTGAGTGATACAAAAATTCCATTACATACCCTTTATAAATTACTGTTTGTTTGTGCGAACAACTCGTCAACGTTGATATTTATTTACTGTATCTTAACATTTCATGTTTCGAGAATGATAGTGCAACGAACTTTTCTGTGAGTATTTATTTATCTTTTACCTTCTTCTTATGACTTAACATTGCGCGGATTTTATTATAGTTTTTAAATCAATTTTGCAAATGGCTTCTCTAAAGTCTTGTAAAAGAATTTTATAAGATATCGATCGATCATTGATAGCAAAGCAATTGTTATGACTTACGAATTCATAAAATTTTAAGATAAAATTTTAATCAGCGTTAAAGATTTTATGATACATTCAATATAAATGTCTGGTAAATAATAAAGAAATTAATATTTTCACTGTATTTGAAAACCGTCACATTTATTTTCATTGATTTATATTTATGAACAAATACTATTTTGTATGGATAATTACGTGTGGCAATTAGAAGAATTACACTTGATTGTTAAACTGATTAAGACTCCTGTTTATTCACTATTACTATCTCCAATTATAGATATTAGAAACGGGAACAAAATAAATATTTTTGCAAATTATATTTAAATAGAAATATTTTTCAATAAAACAACATTTTCAATTGACAGAATAGACTTATAAAATGTACCAAAAACTATCTTCTTAGAAGAAATTAACAATACAAAAGGAGAGTTTTTGATATATTTTACAAGTCAATTCTATGGATTGTAAGTTTTGTTTTATTGAAATATATTTTCATATTAATATATTTTGCAAAAATTTTATTATGAATTTTCTTTTAATATCACAATCTAAGATCTAGTATAGTAAAAAAGTCTTAAATTTGTGAAGTTCTTCATATGAAGGATGGTTCACCGGAGAGATAACTGTAACGACATTTACACAATATTTAGTATCAACGCGACAATCAAAAACAAGATTAAGGCGATGACATTCGCATCGTGTAATTTGTTCATATTCATTAGGGTTAAGCTGTTAAAATTGAATTGTTTGGAAAGCGGCGGCTAATCAATCGCGAAAGTGTTTCAAGCACTGATAAGTTAAAAGGATTGCGGTGCGCATCAAAAGCTAGGAAGACAAATACGAGATATTCAATTATGTACGTAAGTTAGTTTAACGCTGGCGAATATAATGGTACATTGGTCTTGTTATCGTCTTGCGCAAATAACGAAGCTGCTAAGTAATAAAGATTATAAATCTCATACGCTAGCCTATCATGCACTATCTATTTACTTCCGTCGTACGCCTTCACGAGAGTTCACGAATTGTGTAATATTGTTAAACAAACTATTATTTTACTATTAAATAGAATAAATTATGTCTCTGCGTAATCACGCATAGATGTTTAAACATGAGCGCAAGAAGCTAGTTTTGATTTCATGAAGAAGCATATCTAACGTTCGCGAGATAACTTTGCATTACAATTCGGTATCTTCCTACACAATTAAATCGTTTTATTTACAGATTCGCGTTCTTTATACATGTACATTTTTCACGTGGCTTCACGAAAGATGACGAGATTTGTTATCATCCACGTGTCAATATTCACACCGAATGCGACTTTGCGGAAAGTCGACAACGTCTCGTCTGTTTTAACGGTTTTAAAGATGAATGGAGAGCAAGGTAATGCTACTGGGAAGTAAATCTAAAATATAATTTTTTTTTTTTATTGAATTAATATTGTTGATTTCTAGATGCAAAATTAAAGTTTACCTATATAGCGCAGAAACATTGCTGTAACATCTGCACTGTTGTCTTATTAGAATAAACTGTGGTGTATAAGTAGTTTGATATTGTAATTATTCTAAAAAGATAAAGCATTTTAAAAAAAATAAAATAATATTTTTAGGATTAAAGATGTTCAAGTACTTATTCTTTGCGTATGGCCAAAGGCAATGTTTGATCCACAAGAGATTCTACGGGGATTCACATTCTTACGAAAGTTAATAATCGCGAACAGTAACTTAACTCAATTATCCACTGCATTTCCGAGCGAAATGCAATTTCTGGAGGTAGAAAATGCTTGCCAAATGGACAACAAGTGAAAGCTTTGTCTATACTTCATTAAAATTGCTTACTCGAATTTTCATGAACAATAAGTGGGATAGTTTTAACATTATTTTATCAAAGAATAGGATACGAGTTCAGCAAACTGTCTTGGAAGACATTGATCATGAAAATTCGTTTTTATCGCGAGATTATATTTTGCGCGTGTTTTATCTCGAAAATATTTACGAAAGCTTGGAGGAAATGTTTATATTAATTAATTAATAGAAAATCAATGTGACCGGCACCAAACTACGTTTACTACCGAACCATGCGTTCTCTAATCTGCGGACTTTGAGATGCCTCGATTTAAGAAACAATGCTCTCGAAGAGATCAGTATTACGGTTTTTGATGTACCTACGTTAGAAGATATTTATCTGACCGGTGAGAATAATTCAATAAAATTTTGTGCACAAATTTGTCAAATAAATAAGTTATGATATAAGAAAATCTGGCAAAAATTAAAATCATGTTATATTTTTTGTGAAATGCTGTGTAATACTTCTATAATGCTAAAACTTTTTATATGATTAATGAATTGTTTAATCAAAATTACATTCAATTGATGCGCGAATGGTGGATAATTAATGAAGATGTACCGACAAAGGTAATCCATTGAGATGTACGGAAGATGTAGCGTGGATTTTGGACTCCAGTGAAGGATCAGCCGCGAGTAAAGTCGTCGACAAAGACAAATTACTTTGCGCCACGCCGCATGATGGAAGACCGCTTGTCCCGGTTGTCAAGATAATCGTGGTAACGAGAAAATGCATCTTCTTCCTGTAATTGATGATTAAACAGATCTTGAGTTCCCCGCTAAATCAATCTGATTTTCAGACATTGAAGGAGGAATGCAAAGAGACTGTTTGTGATTGCGAATTGATTTACGTTACACCTCCAGGCGAACTTACGCAGAGACAGCTTATAGTTTTTATTTCAGTCAATTGTAGTCATCGCGGTCTAACAGAAATGCCCGAATTTTTACCCACAGATACAAACATTCTTCATCTAAGTGGAAATAAGGTCATTTATATTTACACAATTCTCCCCCTTTAAACAATAATTTTTACAGACACGTCACGAAGTTATGAAGTAGAATTACAAAACGTTACAAATATGAGATTCAGATAGATATTTGTAAATGTGTTTTCAAAGCAACTTATAAAATATTCATATAAATTTATTGTTTTTAAAGAAAAAATATATTTTTTTATTCATATTTTTAAAGAGAAAATAATATATATTTGCAAAGAATAAATATAACATATTGAAAATTATTTCCCTTTAATTTTCTTATATAATGCACTTTTCATATATCTATATATTATAATGATTCACATATTAGACAGTGATTAAAATACTTTAATCCGGTCTGTTGTTTACTATAGATCAAGGACCTAACTCCGCTTGCGACAAATCCCGCTTACAAGTCCCTGTTAGACCTCTACATAGACGATAATCTGGTAGAATCTATCGCTCGCTTAGAAGGATCAGACTGGCTGGACCATTTCCGACGCCTTAATCTTCGAGGGAATAAACTTACCGATGTTAGTTTGCCGTGTCAAAGTTATCAGATGTCACGTAAGCAAACAATCCGTTTCATTTGATGGATGTCGGAATATGAAAAAACTGTTTGAGTTGATTTCGTGCAGCACGGTAGACGATTAAGAATTAAGATACGCGATTTAGGGAGATTATAAAATATCATGCGCTGTTTTTAATATCACCATAGTTGTTATTTCAGCATTGTATAAGACTATAAATACAGTTCATGATTCTTTAGTCTGCATTTTTTAGTTGCCTACTTATGCTCTGGAGAATGCATTGTTGCACAATAGAAATGCAGCTAATCTGTATCTCGGCAATAATTCATGGACGTGCGACTGTCACTTTACACCGGGCTTTCAGGTTATAATTTAATTAATAATATAATTTATTATAATTTAATTGACAATATGCAGGGTGTCGCAAAAATTTGTAATTCAAAGTACTATAGCAAGTTCTCAAAAAATTAAGTAAAAAAATTATTTGTAAATTTTTATTTTTAAGATAATAAGGGTTTAAATATGATCAATTGCAAAGTTCAGATGAGAAATTATTGCTTAAAATAAAAATTTACAAATAACTTGCTTTTATTTAATTTTTCGAAAACTTTTTTGCTATATTTTGAGTCGAAAATTTTGGGACATAGTATAGTATATTATATATAAAGAGAGAGTTTACATATATATTTTTAAATTAATTGCCAATAAGATTGACACAATTACATCATTTTGTACAAGTAAGTTTCTTATTCTTCAATCGTTAAAAATTTTTAAAGGATTAAAATAGATAGATTAATATAAATAAAATAGTTATTAAATTTAATTTTCAATATTCAACTATATATATATTTACATTTTTTTTTGTTTGAATTTCTTACTTCTAATTAAAAAAAGATAAATAAATGATCACTTAATATCACTACCAGAACTTAATCATTATTAATTTAGTTGTATGATTTTATTTAACATTTTTTATAGGATCTTCTGATCAGGCATCCAAATATAATAAAAGACATCAACGACATAAGATGCGCTTTTACGAGTGACAACGATAACTCAAACAAACAGGTAACTAACTGCATGTCTTTTTTATCAAGTCAGATTGAAAATAGACGCATGAATAATGCAATTAAAATGCAATTGCCTGCTTTAACATAATAAAATGGCTCTCACAGATTCGTGATCTTAAGCGGACAGAGATCTGCATTTTACCAGAAGACTCTTGGCTTCATCCTCTCGACATCTTGAACATCATATTGGCGTCATTAATATTCCTCGTGCTTGGCAAGCTTTTGTATGATTATTGGTCTTTTAAGAAAACCGGAAAGCTACCTTGGATCGTCGCCAAAATACCATGATAGCGGTACAAGTGCCTCTTGCAAAAGAGTGTTTGAACGGTCGAGTGTTTGATCATTAAGAGTAGCAATGAAAATTGTAATGAAGGGATGAATATACCTGCATTAAAATATTATTTTATTTACAAAATCTCCTGTCTTTTTTCTTGTAAATTCAGTGTACTAATCTTGAATATAATTAAAGTTTTCTGACATAAGTTGTAAATACCAAATAAAGACAAGATACGAACGTTTATTAAGATCAAATAAAAAATTTCAACATGTAAAATTTCCAAAAACTGTATATATTTTCACGTTTATTCAAATTTTATTATCAAAGATAAACCAAGAATAAATACATTATATCATAATAATTGATTTTTGAGCTCATGTTGATTATTGGTTCTCACAAATATATTTCTGATATAAATTTTCAGCAGCAGCAATCTTAGCGCTATCTATCCTTAATCCTTGTCCTATAAATAAGTAATAAAATATGTTAAATTACTCTAATAAGCATTTAAGAAAATTGATTAAATAAAAAAATGGTATAAAAATTATGTTAAGCTTTTTTTGAAATATTTTTTTCAATATTACAAACAAAATAATAACAAACTAATTCCGTATGTGATAAAATTTAAAAGAATGACTTAATGATTCCTTTTATTATTAAATAACTTAGAGTAGTAAAATATATACAAAATTGTAGACTCCTATTAATATTATTTTTTTAACCAGATTATAGCAAATGAGAAAATAACATACCAACTCCGACATGACCTAAAGCTACGCATTGAGCTGTGTACGTAAACCCTTGATGTGTTGTCGAATTGCCAATAGTATACTTCGGAATAGATTCTCCTTTCTCGAGACAAAATTTGTAGAGTTTTTGCGACGCGTTCTTCAACTCGCCTTTAAGTGCTATTATCTCTAACATCCTGACACAAAGAGAGTGCATCAAATTCTATTTTACATAAAGTCGATTGTTTTTCGAGCGATGCTCCGGTAAGATTTATATCGTCGTAATCTATATCCTAATTTTTCTTATATTTTTGCACCATTAAACTTACTCTTCCTTCGAGAAATCTAATAATCCGCCAACAGATTTCGAGCCATCCATCTGACGCACGGCTATCATCCACAATATTTGTGCTGCCCATTCGTTTTTGGCCAGATCTTTGGTCGCGGCACACGACATTGCTGGCACATTATCCAAACTATGTTTAACAACGTGTAAAGAAGCACTTGCAACATTTTATATGTCGGATTTATGAACGACACAAGTAAAAGTTATTAAAATTATTGTTAAAGTATAATTACTGGAAATAATTCGGTGTTGTTGAATAAAAAAATAATACTTAACATGTGTGTGTGAGTGTGTATATATGATGTAATAATATTCCTTGTTATCTGTTTTGACGAGAGCTACGAAGTATTTACCGCGAAATCCACACAGGTCACCATTTATCACATACATATTCGGTTTTGATTTGCACTTGTATGTGATTGGCATTTCACACTGCTTTGCATATTCTTCAAGGATAGTAAACGGTGAATGAAGATTTGCAGAACATTTTGCAACACTGATCTATATTATTTAAACGTTTATATTATATTAGAGCAATAAGTGTAATTTTAAATAAATCAGATTTACATTTAAGAATCTCTTATCGTTGGATAAAAAAATAAAATTAAGAAATATTTTTTATCTATAAGCTTCTTCTGTTCCAAAAAATCTGTGTTGCAATATTTCATCTGCCTTATTTAATTCAGCCATATTATACTTAAATATAATGTAAATATATTAATGTCAGTTTTTTAAATTACTTTTTCATCGTTTTTGTCAGATTTGTCATCATTGTTGACTGTCAATGAATGATTATCTATATTTTTGTCGACGCTTGGCCCCGTTTCCGAATCGTTATCATCTGAGACGCGATTAAACATTTATTATTTTTATATAATTAATAGCGAAATAAATTTTATACCTTCCATATCATCATGATATTTACACAGTGCCTTATCAGTCATGTTTACCCATCCTTCCAAACTATTTGCTTCACCCACTGCTTTCATTAATCCTAAATTGCAAATTTATTAAAATAAGCGGTGTTAAAAATTGTTTCCCACGTTTATGAATTTGTAAAATATATTTTTTTCTAACTATTCCGTGTCGCACTCACTTTCTTCCGAACTCATATCGATTGCTTCATCAACGTTATCCTTTACATTAGTATTTGATTCCTCTTGGAAATTATGACATCTAATCATCGAGCTTGCTTTGAAATGTTCAACAATCTCGTCGATTTTTAAAGGTGAATTCAAATTATATTCCTGATAGGGGTGTTTCTTTTCGCACTGAATAGATTGTTCACTACAATATTGAGACTCTAAATCCACTTGCTTTTCGTGAATATCGTGCACTTTCAGTTGCATTTCAACGTTCTCGGTGACTTCACAATGTTCTGAAATCTTAGAGGAAAAGGAACACCGTTTTTTTTTATTTAATACAGCAAGCAATGACAGTGTGTAACAATAAGTAGGAAATATGCGGGAAGCTACGTACATTCGTTTCTTCGGCAAACGATTCTATGTCGGATATCATCGAAATCGTCGCGTTAGATTCCCGGGAATCCGGTGTGTGAAACGAGCTGGACGTGTCTGTAATATTGAGTGAGTCAGATCCTGTGAACTAGCACAAGTTAGACAATATTGCCGCGACGTAAATTTTAAATTCAGAATTGCAAAAATTTCAAGAATACGCTTGAAAGTATACGACAAAAAATTCTTATGCATAATTTGACAAATAAATTCTCTATGTCTGTAAATTATAATCGAAGGTGTGGATGCAGCAAATTTAGTAAATCAGCTTACGCGTAGTATCAGATTACGTCGCAAATTTTCGAATAAGCACTCTTTAATCATTAAACGCTAGATTGACAAAATCAAGCAAATGAAGGATTATTCCAGATAACAATTTGGTCAATAAGTCCGGCACGCAATTGAAAGGGATAAATGAATGTAGGTCGTGTGCAAACCATACATTTCTATGAAAGATAAATCTTCCTCGTGAATAAATTACTTGTGTGTTTCCCATTATATCATGTATACCATTAATTTAATAACGTGATAATTACAATGAGGTTAGCCGAGTGCACGAATAAATGCAGGCTATTTGCATAATTGGATCACGCTATTGTAACCATTAATTTAAAGCTTAAGCTCGTTATTTTAAACATGTTGAGTCGTAAAACATGTTAAATTGAGTATATACTAAAATTCTCTCCGAGACTTGTTTGCCTGTCATGCACGTGCATGGAAAAATTGCTTTCCGGGTTCGAAGAATCGCATACCATTTCCCTGAGTGCAAGGCGTTCTAAGCTGCTGCAGCAGATCCTCCGCTCGTTCGATCACCGTTTCCATCTCGCAGAGAAGCGGTGCCGCATTCGGAAATCGCCGCGTAATCGTGTCCCAAATGACCTCGGCATCCTCGACACCGTGCAGGGATCTCGGTGGTTCCAGCTTGCCGTGTTGTATCGCCGTATCAGTGAACGATGCGCTCCCACTGGACATTCGAGGATCCCGTCTTTTCGCCAGTCTGTCCGCGACGTGATGAATATTTCATCGAGCACGGCGCGATAAATCTGCCGGGTTATAGGCGAGCGGTTTTACGTTTTTCGTGAACGGAAAATTGACGGATGGAAGATGTCAAGAGGCAAACAACGTAGGAGCGCGATGTCATCCTGATGGCGATCAACCGTGCATGTCTTCCGCAGTATACATTTTTTTCGATTGCGTGAATAAAGGTAAGACAGATTGCTGTTATCGTTAGTCAAAAAAATAGACATTTGTATTAAAAACTTAAAAATAAAATTATATTTTATGTCAACTTTGAATATTCTGCTGCTTTTATTACAAAGCGATCGCTTTGCATTTTGAAATTATTTTTGTTACAATAGATATCAAAATATATATATTCTATATCAACTACATAAAATATAGAATCGCGTAATATGTGGCAGTTAAAAATCTACTTATAATCTTGTAAAATAAGAGAGTAAAACAAGAACTTTTAAAAAAGAACTTATAAACATTCTCTAATCATGCTTTTATAAAAAAAATTTGCAGCAAGATCTTTCTTTAAGGAAATAGGTGTTAGAATATTCTTATCTACATTTTTTGAAAATTTTTTTCTTCCAAAGCATTTTTTGATAAAAATAAAACATCTTTTTCATTATTTTCACTGTAATTAATGCTACTCTCATAAAATTTTTATATTGAAAACGAAGTTTTGCAAATCATCTCGAAGACAAACAAGAAATTGTATGAAAATTTAACGAGGCATTGCGATATAATGTGAATTAATAAACTTAAATTATAACTAGAATATGAATAGCGTTCTTTCTCAAGGGATTGCGATTAAAAGAGTCTCTACAATCGTTTTAACGAGAAGAATTGACCTAAATATCAAAAGTTTCTGGACCTTTACACAGTATATGAGAAAAAGGAAACGCAGGGGACTTCTTTTAGCAAAAATTACAATTATGTTAAACAATTTTTTTATCTTCATTTTTTTATAGATGTTTCTTAAATTTATTTATTCTGTTAACTATATTTTTCTCAGTAAATATCACTATAAATTTAAATTATTATTTATTTAAAAAAATAAGAATTTTTGAAAATAAGAGCATAATTTGCGAAAATCTGTATGTGTTCTAACAATGAATAATCCTTCTAGTTGTAGTCATTGTTCATTGCATAGGTTTATGTAGAACAAAACTTTGGACACTATGAATTATATGTCTTCATGAATATACATAAATGTATATACATAAAACTCGAAGAGAAAATTATATTTCTGAGAAAGAACGAAACGATAAATTGATTAATAATGCATTTCCCACGGCTGGTCTGCTGGGTTTCTTTAACGCGATGGTATTTTATTAAAATTATAAACACGGGATTACAATACATCGTGTAACGCGTAATACTTGCTTAGAAACGTCGTTGAATCAAGGCCTCTTTGATTCAAAACTCTTTACCATCCACTTTTTTTTTTAGCTACGTATGTGCGAGCCAGTTTGTGCTACGGCATTTTTTTTCCTTTTTTTATGTTATTTTTTTTTCGTGTACGTTCTTACATACATGCATAGTACTATAGTTTCGTAATCGTAGAACGCATTCTCGATTGAGCGCGACATGGAGTCGAGTCGTCGTACCGTATAAATCCCATGATGACTACACGCTCCACAGTAGATTTTAAATTCATATATCCGTCGGAGAAATTAAACTCGATGCTGATCCGCCTCGGTTAGGGCGACGACAGGAACGACTTTCCGTGGATGCTTTTAAAGGCCGGGTCATATCAACGTCTTGGTGCCGGGAAGATACCGGGGAAATAGGTAGTATAAATCGTCGTTCCCTTGTGAATAGAAAACGATGCGTCCCACAATGTTTATTACGTCGGTTTCCGTCGTCGAAGGACTTACGCTTTTACTTATTTATAGACAGATTTATCGTGAACTGCGAGAAAACCACCGACTCGAGAGTATATAAAAAATTTCGTGTGAAACACTTCCTCTTCTTTTCTTATTTGACGGAATTTTATATAAAGGGAAAAATTGGGGAAAATTTCTTTTCGAAAGGAAGTCGTCTCGGTTATCCGTGAAAAGATGACTTCGCTACTTCAGTCTCGACTAGATAGTGATGGATGGTGTGACGCGCTTAAATTAATTTCGAACTTTCGATATGTCAGAGTAAATTTTAACATGTCTTTAATGTGGCAATCGCGCGGTTAACACATCGAGGAGCCTGGCGGGTGCACAGTTTCGCTTCTGATGCACGCTACGTTTATTCGCTAGTACATTACTCGTTATCGGATTCCGTGTCTTATAGCGTACAGAACGTTATATACTCGGACAGTTTTTCGTATTCGGGTAGAAAGAGACTTATAAAACTTTATGAATAAATAATAACTGCGGCAGTATTCGTTGGTAGGCGATGTCCTTATGTAATGAATTATTCACGGAGCAATTCATGAGACTGGCGAAAAAATATCTTAACGCGGCCGACATCTCTGCGGAAATTTTCAAATTGTGGCAGAAAGTGTACGTAAGTTTGCAAAAGTACCGTTATCAAAATACCGCGATTAATTGCTAAAAATTGCAAGTATAACTCTTATTCAATTACTGTTCTTATATGGAATTCTCCAATTAATTGCTGTATAAAATAACAAAGCTCTAGAAAATTTTTTCAATTCAAAATGGATAGAAAAAATTACAAATGTATGTAAAATCGAACCGCTTCTTACTATGACCATTTTCTACGTTTCTAAAAGATTAAAGGGAAGTATATAAAATTTTGCTTCACCCTAATTTGATTACGTCTTCTTAAGTATAATATAATATGTCAAATTCTTATTTTTGTCGACTTATATCGCTTTTCTGGTTCGCCATAAGTCTGTTTTAATTAATTTTTATCAAATTTTCTATCAAAGTACGTATATTACGTTCGAAAAATCGTGAGTTCGCATCCCGGGCTTGGAACACATCTTTTTTGATTTGATCGATGATCTAAAAATTACACGCTTAGCCGCGTTAAGATATCGATGTCGCCAAAGAAGATTGCATTGGAAGGTCGTGATCCATCTTCGGCGATGGATTTTTTCGAGGATGCGTATATGCGAACGTGAAATTTACGCGAGAGATTTATTTCCGATTGTTGATACGCTTACTTCTATCACAGCATACAGACGTACGTTAGACGTGCTTTACCATACAGTGTCTACAATAGGCTAACGCGTGGAGACTGCGTCCATTTGCTTAACGTTTCATTCGCTTAACAGGATTAACGGTGTACATGCTCCTGTAGCATTCAATTAATTACGCGTAGCATCTACGTCTCATTCAAGCGCGTATCGATACCGAATCTAGATTACTCAAGTAAATTATCTACATATATTATTCCATCCCATATAGGAATGCCAGTCATTTTCAATAGTGCCAATGCTTGGCCCAATATATGGTAACCAACAATTGGCCAATACATGGTATTCTATTATGGGCCATATCAGGCATGACTGGGTATCATTGATTTACATTTTACAATAGCGCCAATATTTGGTCCAATATACGGTAACCAATTATTGGCCGATATTTGGTATCTTGTTCTGGGCCATGTCTGACATATATGACTGGGTACCATGGATTTCCGCAGTTTTTTGTCTGTTATACTTAATTTGTCATACGATAGTTGTTGAGTTCTTATTAATAAATATTTCGAAAAATTATTATAAACAAAAAAAGTTTCGAAAATTAAAACAATTAAAAATTAACGTTAGTGATAAATGTAGTAATAATATTGAAAAAAATGACAGTGAAATTAATATTGACAGTACGAACAATGTAAGTGAGGTTATATTAGATCACAATGAAGGAACCATTTATCACAGATGACAGTGAACATAGTGAATTATTCTTATTTGACAATGTTAAACAAAGATAAAATGATTCGCTGTGTTACACTGTGTCATCTTTGTCTCTTGTTGGAGAAAGCATTTAATATAATTGGAATAATCACGGCACTGCATTAAAACTATTATTGGTCACATATTGGCATGATAAGACAACTATTAATGGCCCAACGTTGTTTATCACGTTTGACCAGTATAGTTACCCATTATCGGGCCGAAGTTATCATCCCATAGTATTCCCATTAGTGGGCCAGTCATGGTTGCCATTATAGACCACCTGGTAACCAATCTTGGGCCAGTATCGAACCAATAGTAAAATCCTATATGGGATCTTCCATAAATCACTTATAAAGTTCAAAATATCGAAAACTGCAGATAGTATAAAAAAATAATTGTTGGTTCGACGTTGAATGGAATGATATCGGCGACTCGATCATTGCATTGTAATGTACGAACGTATCGTAGTTGAGTGAGATTGAGTTATTTATAATACAATATAATGCGTTATAATATAAGGATAGTTGTATCAGATTTGTTAGGTAATACGAATCAGATTGCAGTAAAGCAATTTGTAAGGTGGGAATCGATTTATATCCAATTATCGAGTTTTTTTTCATAACATTCGTTAAAGCCAATAATTTGATTCTGATCAAAATATCACGGTGTTAAATTGCAAATATACGATGACCTCGATATTCAATTAAATCAGAAATAAAAATTTTAAGTTAATACCTTTCAACAGTAAAAAAAACAGCCCAGTGCAGTCATCTTAATTTGGAACAATGCATCGCGACAACGTAGTCCAAACCTACGGCTAGTCCGACCATAGGTGATCTAATGAGAAAATCAGATTAGACAGGTGTGACGTGCATGAATCCAATAGTAACGATCATCAAGCTAGATCTTGCACAAACGTCAATGGCGTAATCCTCTTTAATCGCGACTATTCCTTTTTATCAATTTTTTCTCCATGATCTCATATCACAAGTGATGTTACCGATAAGTGCGAATTGTCGGAATGTATGCAATCGGGATCAGAAGAGTACAAGCAATTTATACATTCGACCTTTACTGGCACGTCCGCGAATATCATTCGAATGTCATTCACGGTGTCGTGACTCTTCACATATCCTCATGTATGCTTTCCCGTCTATCGCATCGTCATTCACACGTAAGCTATCGTGAAACGCTTCTCTCGCGCTTTGGCGCTCGCACCATCGTTCTATTCTCTTTTCCCTCTATCT